GACCATACAAGTTTCCTCTTTTATTATAATTCCATTAGATTAGCTTTCCTTCTCATACTGGCAATCGTGCATCTTGCTTAATCAAAAAAATTCAGTGAAAATATCCAACAATCAACCGACAGTCAAAATCGAAAAATAACTTCTTATTTCAAAAGTCTCAAATACATACCACCGAAATTTGCCTAAAGTCTTCTATAGCTTAGTCGAAAAGTACTAGGACTTGCTGGGAAGAGTTAGAAAGTGATAAAAAACAAAAGCGCGGTCAAAAGATGCCAAATTTAGCTGATCTAGAAAAATACAGGTTAAAAAGACTTTTTCATCCATTTATCAGCAAACTTTACTTTTAGATGTCGAGAGAGGCAAAAAATGGAGAATTACCTCAGAGCTGCTTACCGAGCACGTCAACTGCAACTTCATTCAGCAGCGAGCTCAACAAACCTTGGTAAACAATCATGATTTTTACTAAGCTGATTGTAGCATAATTGTAGCGTACAAGTAATATTAAGAGCTTAAATAGGACAGGCACAGAACGAACTATGTATTGATGGATGTAGAAATGTAGCTGGTGTGGGAAAAATAAGTACGAAAGAGTTGAGACGTTTCGGTCCATTAGGTCACATACGTCTTTGTTTAAAGTTTTCCATACTTCCATTCCAAATTTGAGAAAATTTGCGGGATTTTTGGACTCACATTGTTTAATAATCGTTTTTCTCAGTTTATGTGTGTGTCTAAATTTGATCGTGTTGGAACAGAGACGATGACAAAGTTACAACCTTACCTTGCTTTCCAAAAAGTTATTGGAGGAAAAAGAGGAGGAGGAAAAATCGTCGACAGCTTTGCTTACAGCTCGTATTGCTTCTTATTAGGTTGTTATCAGCTGCCCCAGGATGAGTGCTTCCGTCTCGTTTTTTTTGTCTGAAGTGTGAAACACAAACGAAGTTGTGATTATAAACTTAAAGTTCGCTTTGCTATACAATTTCAGGTTTCTGCTTCCAAAACGCACTATGGGTAGGGCACCTCGCGCAAAGAAGGAGTTCATTTGTAAATACTGTAATCGACATTTTACAAAATCGTATAATTTATTGATCCATGAGCGTACACATACGGACGAACGTCCGTACAACTGTGATATTTGCGGTAAAGCTTTCCGGAGACAGGATCATCTGCGAGATCATAGGTAATACTTAATTTCGTATTTTTATCCATGCTATTGTTTTTTCAAGTAGGCAAGGAATACGTCAGGAGATACGTGCAAGGGATACGTGCAGAGCTCCGATAGTTCAAAATATTATTGGTGGTCCTGTGGTTTAAATCCAGTGGTCTTTGGTGGTCCTGTGGTCTTTGCCGGCTGAAGTTTGGTTTAAATCCAAAAAAACTCGACTAAAGCTTGAAAGATCGTTGTGACCATTCATGCATTTATTGCAGAGCTCTGGTGGTTTAAATATTATTGGTGGCCCTGTGGTACTCACAGTATTTGCTGGTCGAAATTTGGTTTAAATCCAGAATAACTCGACTAAACCGTGAAAGACTGGTGTGGCTATCTCATTTGGCACTCAACATACCGAGATTTGCTATTCTAGGCCTTACCACGGTAGCAACGTGTAGGCAAATGAACGTCAAGATAAAAAGTGTAAAAAGTCAAGCTGATCTGTAAAAGCAGTCGTAAAGTTAAACTGTTTCTCATGACATTTGGAACTGATATGTATGGCACAGTGGTAAATAGCCCAAAATGCAAGACGTCAAAGGTGTGACTTCGCTGGCAAGAGGACCAATTCTTTTACGATTCTTTCAATCATTTCAGTGGTACTGGCACATGTCAGAAAATCACTAGCAGCTTGATTGTAAGCAACCCTTGAAAAAAGGAGCTGCCGATAGTCCTACCAGCGTGTGGTTGTTGCCTTTGGCACCTGCTACCACTTCGTCTTCTTCCGAGTGCCTCCACTTTTTATAGAGAATATTTGAGGCATGCAATAAATACGGGAACGAAATCATTTTGACAGTGAAAAAAAAAAAAATGAAAACGAAAAATTTCAGTTACGACTGCTTACCATCAACCATCCCTTGAATACTCGGCTGTGAAGAGTTCCGCTATTTAATCATCATTGAAATTTGATCAATTTTTTACTATTCAGATTTATCCATGCGAAGGACAAACCTTTCAAGTGCGATGTGTGCCAGAAGGGATTCTGTCAATCACGCACACTTCAGGTGCATCGAATTTCACACGGCAATGATAATCCACTGTATTCGGATCAGAGAAAGCTACGACGAGCTCAAAATCAAGCCATTTTTAATGACTTTCGAAACGTCGAGGTTAGTAGGATCGCTTTACAAAATAACTTTAGGAAAGAGTTTTACAGTCTTCCAGGAACAGCTGTTAGGAGAAATTATACGATTTTGTAGCTGGTGCAGTTGAGACGAGGGAAGGCGAAAGAAAAAAGTCTAGCGCTCATTTCCTTTCAAGCAATATCCTCAGCTATTGTTCGGCTGTCTTG